CTGTTAATTTCAACTTGATTTCGCAGTTCAAATTTAAACTTTTCCAAATTTCCTTTTGTTTGCAGATTATTGAAGAGTTTTTGCAAAAATAAATCATATTTTATAGGTTTGTAGCAAAATGTTTTTGGTAAATGAGACGTCCGCCTGAATAGGTTTAAAGCCATATTAAAAATGAATATTAAATGATCAATTTTATCATTATTTTTTGTACTTTTACTTTCACTTTGGTAATCGCTTACTATGAATCCCTTGAATACTATGAATCCAATTGGAAAAAAATGAAAGAATGAATGTATTACAAGGAAAAATCTACCCTACGATAATGGTATAATCAATATCAAATTATTAGTTAAATTTTTAACCTAGGAAAACAACCAAGATTTCCATATTATTAAATAGATACACGCAATATTAAATTTCATCTTTATATTTTTATTTCCCGAGTTTTTATTTACAGTTCTTAATACTTCATTAGTTCAATTTAATTTAATTTTAGAAAATTTAAAAAGCATCAAAACAAAAACAAAATAATTGGAAAATTGTTGCTGGAAGTTAAAAATTTCATTAGGTCTGAATATTTTTAATGTTAAAACAGCGATCAAAGACGACTTTTATATCGTCTTGCTACTGTCACGTTTCTTGGGATTCCCATGTTGAATAAATAAAGTTCAAATACGCCGCAATTAAATAATAACAAATGCTTTACTTCCCTTTTTGAGTCTACATTCATAGTTTTAAACATAGATTAATTAACAATACAGATAGAACACTAGCTGTCGTCTTTTCAAGGTTTAGGGGTTTTTGTTTGCAGTAACCCTCAGGAAAAGCCAAAGGAGTTACGCGTAATGCGCATGCTCTCTTCTCTCTGTTTTGTAATTCAACGCTGCCTGCACGGAACTCCTTTGGGCTTCTACCTCAGGGTTAATGTACCTCAGGGTTAATGTGAACGAAAACCCCTTAAATCTTGAAAAGACAACATATCTAGTTTTCTATCTGTATTTTTATTAATCTATGGTTTTAAACAATATCTTGCAGAAGATTGAATACATTGAGATTTATCAAACTATGACACAGGAAGAAGACTGTTAGACTCAAGTCCAGTACATACATGAAGTACAGCTATTGGGAAGTTGCCATCGTTAACACGTAGACCCATTTCACCAAGAAAGTTAATTTTCAATCAGCTCATAAGATTGCTAAAATGTAGGAAGCTATGCTATAGATAATGGGTCAGTCCGCCAAATGTTTCATTCTCATTCATTATTAATGTGATAAGATTTAAATTCAATATTATTTATCATGTGAAAGGGACTACACATGTAATTTCAACTGACCCTACATTTATTGAATTCAAAATTTTACACTAAGTCGTATCAAGTATGACGAAGATATCATTATTTTTCTAGCTTAAAATTGGGTACCATCGTTATCCTTGCAAAGTCACACTGAGCAGTGTAAATACACTATACACTCTAAATTCAAGGCAATAGATTGCCATTTATAGAAACATTTCTATGGTCGGTATTGTTGAATATATTGGCCATTTTTACATTGTGTTTTCAGTCCTTTTGAACTCCTTGATGTTTCAAAGGCCGAATTTAAAGAATTTAAGTCGCGGCTAAAATCCGTCAAAACCCTTTTTAAATTAAGCGCGGGCTTAAATCTTGAAACATTTGATACAATTTTAAGTGAAACCAACCATAATTAAGCCGCAGCTTAAATTTAAACCACGGCTCAAATTCTTTAAATTCCGCCTCTGTTCTCCATATTATAATCAATATAAACAAAGAGAAACCATCAATTAATTAATCTTAATCCATATAATAGTTTTAATTAAGGTATTATCTAATTAGATTAAAAATTAGTCTCATATTTTGATCAATTATTTCTGGGTAAATATTTAAGCATTTTAAGAAATAATTTTCTTGTTAATACTTCTGAAAAGATTTAGTTGGAAAACTTAGCGTTGGTGGAGGCCCCTCTCCCCCCTTCAGAAAAAAATCATTTGTTAGAGAGGTGCATAGATCAAATAATATATTTGTTAGAGAGGTGCATAGATCAAATAATATATTTGTCAGAGAGGTGCATAGATCAAATAATATATTTGTCAGAGAGGTGCATAGATCAAATAATATATTTGTTAGAGAGGTGCATAGATCAAATAATATATTTGTTAGAGAGGTGCACGAGGGGAGGAAGGCCAGCCACATCAATTTCTTGTCCGAGCCACATTCTCCTCATTTTCTCGTCCGAACCACCTCGGAATCCTCGTCCTTTGATTATTTTGTGTTAAAAAGTTTCCAATTCTTCAAGATAAAACTATTTTTTTTAAATCTGGCCACGTTAGGGTATAAAATGTCGCATATTGCATATTGCAATGATTATATCATGTTTAAATCTTCAAACGCATGAGAATGATGTGAAACTTTATTAAGGTAAATTTTGAATCTCTTCTGCCTCCGTAATGGCTAACCTTCGTGATATAAAATAAATAGCAAAATATTCGGCATACCTCTGCCTAAAACTTTCCCCATGGAACCACCCGGAAAAATTCTATGGTTTTCACAAAAAAAGATTGAAGTTTTACAAACTTGGAATTATTTGCGGCATTCTACACCAGGAATATCTGAAAATGCGCGTAAAAAAGGTGAACATTTTTAAAGACATTAAACTTGAAACCTTTATTTCAATTGAAACTATTTTTTCCGATTTACAAAAATTTGATATTTCATTTATGCCCTAACGTGGCTTTATTCTTAAAAAATAGTTTTATCTGGAAGGATTAGACACTTAAAAAAATAAATATTGAAAGGATGAGGATTGCGAGATGGCTCGGACGAGAAAATGAGGAGAATGTGGCTTCGACGAGAAATTGTTGTGGTTGGCCTTCCTCCCCTCGGTGCACAGATCAAATAATATATTTGTTTGGAATAAAAATAGTTTTTACTATTTTAATACATATTTGATGGGATTAAATAGATCCTCATGCTGTTATTAATTATTGTATTTATTCATTTTCTAATTCAAGAAAAATTTAGATGAATTTTTCAAATATTTGAGACAGTGTTTTTTTTCATCTCAAAACCAAAAGTTATGAAAAGTGATTGAATAAATTATATCTATCTAGTCCTTAAAGATTTAAGTGGAAAAAATCTGCGAAATTGTTTGTAGTAAATTTGCAATTTCAGTTCTGGTTTGAGTTGATAGAAATAGTGTATGTATTACACTTTTCTGTTTTTAAATAATGGAAAAAAATGTCGCGGATTTTTTTTCAACTCTTAAGGTAAAAAATTTAAATGAAAAAAAAAATAATTCCCCCAAAAAAATTATGTGGAGGGGAAAATAGCTTTCTAAAAGAAAACACTAATTAATCATGCATTTTTTTCTGACCAGCCCTTGTGCCCCCCCCCCCCATGGCCGAGTATTTTAGGGGGTATGGGGCCGGGGGGAGACTGTTTTTTGGCACAATATTCCTCATTAAATGCATTTGTCTTGTGTTTAATAGTGAGAATGGACAAAATGATTATATTCTAATAATCTTTTCATTTAAAACATTGTATCAATTGATTTATTTTATAATGATTTCAATTTAAAATTACTTTTCCAGATCATAAAATGCTTGATTTGATCCTGTAATCCCGCAATATATTTAAATGTCCTTTTTGTCACTGCGAGGTATTTCGGAAAAAAAACATATTTTTAGCAAAAATTCAAGAAAGCATAGCAGATTCGGGACAATCTAAATGTAAAAAAAGATTCTAACATCCATAGAGAAAAGATTTAGGGGCGTCGGCAGCACGCCAAAACCTTGATTTAGTCAGAGTAGCTGTTGGAAAATCCTATTTTAAGAGTTTTGACTGAAATAGCAGTCGAAATTCTTAACTAAAACATAACATCATGAATAACTTAGAGACTCCTCTCTAAATAATTTTTAAGCGGCCAGGCCTTACTTGACATAAGAAGAGGTTTATGGAATAATCTCACTTGGCTGTCCCCCTTATATCAAACTGTGCCCCCCCCCCTCATTTCAGATTTATTCCCTTTTTTACTTTTATATCTGCTTTTTTACTTTTATATCTGCTTTTTTACTTTTATATCTCCTTTTTTACTTTTATATCTGCTTTTTTCCGCTTACGTAAAATCTTTTAAATGTTTCATATCTTCGTCAATAATTTTAAAGATAAAAGAAGGCAGACCACATTTTCAAAAACTTTTTTTTTACACTTTTTGTCATTTTACAACTATTGGAAATCAGAGATTATTTTCAAGTCGTATTTTATTAGCTATGTGTCCCACCCTGTACATGTAAGAAGAAATAATGGCTTTGCTCTCCTATAATTTGATTTGGTGAAAACTTTATAACTAACTGAATTAGACTCCATACAGGGATAGTTTTGAAGAGTGAAAAATATAAAACAAAATTTAATCAAAGCGTAAGTTAAAAAAATAATGTTAAAAAACTTTTCTTACGATCATCTAATCAAACAAAGTATTAAGCTGTATGACGTCACAAGTAATTCGATTACTCTTTCTCTTGTTTCTATTATCTCTCTCTCTCTGGTTAGTTCTAGTTTCCTGTATCCATCCAATGTATAAAATAAATATATCTATAAATGGTGGTGTGACGTAAACTGGATATTAAAGCATTGTGTGAACCATTGTGTATATTTTTAGATGAACAAAAATAAATGCAGGCTTTGTGTGGTAAATATGAGGCAAAAGTACAATAGATAGAAATAACAAAATAAAAGGCTTTAAAAACACTTCACGCCAATTTTTTTAGAATTCAAATTAGATTGTAGCTTTATCTGCAAGCCTATCTTCTAAATCGGCATAAAACAAAAAAACTTAATAATAAGATATATATATCAGTTTTTCAATGTTACTTTACCTAAAACCATTTTATTCACCGTCAATGTGTACAATTGACTAATGCATGAGTTATTAACATATATTTATTAAAATCATTATTTATTTATCTTCGACAATCAGATTATTTCTTTTAACAATTAAACCATATTTATTTGAAAATGTTATCAGTACAATTCACAATTATTCTAAACAAATTACAAAAATATTTTCATTTTTCTAAATAGTAACATGTATACATACTTGTTATATTTGAGCTTTTCAATATTACTATCACAATTTTACAATTTAAGTCCTGCCTTGAAAATGTTTGAAAAGCTGTTGAGAATTGAAGATTTTCTGCATTTCTGCTTTTCATTTACAGAAACCTTCTTAGACTCAGATTTCTGCCTGTGTTCGCGTGTGGCTAGAGCGGAATCAGTTTTACTTCCGGTATACTTCTGCTGCTTCCTCTTGTTCATGCCGGCCTTCTCACAGGCGCTGTTGTCCATGTTCCTGAAGCTTGAAGCCCGCCCAATATTGGTATATATTTGCTGTTGTCGTAGCTGGAGGGAAAGATGGTTCGAGCTCAGACGTCCAGAGTTGAGCGCGGCAGCGTGCATTTGAGTTTCTGCGATCAGCTGATTTACCAGGGAGAGACACGCGGTCAGGCGCACAGTACTGAATCTGTCCTGTTTAATTCCAGCCTTTAGCAACCTGTAAAAATAAAATAATTATTAGTCGTGCAAATTTTGGATATAATAAAAAAAATTTAACATATTTTTTTAAAGAAAATTCTTAGAGCTCATCGATTTCTAAATTAGATTGTAAGATTAGATTAGGGGTTTATAATTAGTATGATTTATTCCTAACCAACAAAAATAAATTGAATTTAAAAAGTTTAAATTTGTTTTTAATTAAGGGTAAAGAGAAAGAAAGTATATTTGTGCATCAACTCAATTTGTCACGGATTGTAAAACTTTTTATTTTTCAAACTATACTTTAATGATAAGTGATCTGTACCTAAGTTCAACTCCCAAGCTGTAGCATCTGGAGAAGACACTGCTCCACTCAAGTCCAAAAAATTCCACACTAGGGTCTGCTGGACGCACACTATCATCCCGCAGTTCAGTCAACTCCTGAAAACAATTTTATTAAAATTTATGGATTTAAACATTGTATATTTTATCAACAATGCATGCAGGAAATTGTCTTTCTGTTTGAACTAGATTTTAGTGAAAAACATGATTTTTATGGTTTCCAACAATAACAAATGATGTTTAGATGTTTTTCACAAAATGAGAACGTGATTCTGAAGCACACATTGTGACGTGGGCCCAAAGGAAGATGGTTTAATGTTTAAGGACCCTAAAGAAAAATTTAGAGGTTTCAGGGCCCGAACGAAGAATAATTTAGGAGTTTGCAGGGCCCTATGAGAGATTTTTTAGGTTTCTGTGCCCTGGGAAAGATGTTAAAAAGTTTCAGGGCCCTAATTAAGATGTTGAGAGTTTTTAGAGTTGTTCAGATGTTTCAGAACCCCTATAGTCACAAGATACACCTTTCTAATTCTATGAACAGTGGTCAGTCTTATGTTTCCAGAAATAAAAAAAACAGGAAATACCCATTACATACTATAAACATGTGTCTGTTTTCATGCGTCAAAGGGGAAAGTCAAAAACTACATCAACAGTTGCCAACTTATCAAATACGATTAAAGGGTTATACGTGTGTGTGTGGGTGTGGGGGGGGGGATTTAAAGGGGCCGGTATCATATCTAAAAGATTAAATTTACCTGAGCTGAAAGTTTAAAGTATGCACATGTGAGGAGTCTCTGACGGATTAGGTCTAGTCCCATCTCAACCTAAATATGACGTCATCAATAATATGTTCATGACAAACTTTTATACACTTGTAAAATATATAATTTTACTATGCAAATAGTTGTGATATATTATTACTATTAACACATTTTCAAATATCTTTTTAAATAAAATTTTGATCAGATCATTAAAAGATTTTTTTTCAATAAATGATTTTAAATTTTTAAATTATATTTATCATGATTACAATATCAACATATGAAGGAATTTTTACCTTATTAAGTGTTTCAAAGACGGCATCTTTGACACATCTTAGGTCCGTATCTTTTATTGCTCTTAGTAGTCCGGAGCACTCTCCTATCAGACCTAAATACAATTTTATTCAAATAGTGTTTTTTAATATATATTCTTTTAGATTGAATCTACTTAAAGTTTTCCCATTGATTAAAAAAAATCTTCAAACTAAACTTCTTAAATAAACAGCACTGATTTACTTAACTAAAAGTATCTATATATCAATAGATATATATATAAAAAGTTAAAATCTCTGTTTGCCTGCCTGTCAGTCTGTTTGTTTGTCCGATCATAACTCAGGAACCCCTAAACCGTTTTGCCTCAAATTTCGATCAGGAGAGCCACGGGAATGTTCGTAGCTTGGGTTTTGAGATTCTAAATTGAGTTGATCGACTTTTATAGCGAAAATTTAGTTTCCCGGTAAATATCGACAAAGTGCGGGTAAATGGCGGAAGTAACTATAAGTAACCTGGGCAAAAGCGTGGTTCCCGAGCTAGTGTTCAATATTTCGTTTTTTTTATCTTACCTTCGATATCTTCTAGGTTTTCATCAGCGTCAACCAGTCTTGATAACTCCGATATGTCGGATTCAAGTCGACCAACATCTAAATTAAAAATCTTGTTTTTAATTTTCGTTCATGTCACGGGTGAATTTTTATCGAATTGATAAAAATTATTGCATTTTTATTTTTATCAAGCTATTTACCTTTCATCATGCTTCTAGAAGTAATTTCGCCTGAAGAAAAATCATTGAAACTTTCTGCGCAGATCATGATTTTTTTTGAGAATTTCTTTCTTAATTGTTGAAGTTTTTTTGCTCGACTCCGGTAGTGTTGAGAGTAGAGGGTATACTGACTCCGTTCGGAGTTTCCGCGCTTTTTATGTCCGAGTAAGATAGATAGATAGATATTGCCGGAGAAAGTAGAGAACGTTGAAAGATATGTTCTATAGATTTACCATGGTTTAAGCCACAAATTTGTAATTAATAACATTTTAAGGGCACATTCTTGGAGTTATGAAAATTACGAACAAAACAACAAAACATTTGACGATCCGACTTTAATTTCAAGTTCTTAATCTTCAGAAAAATAACTATATAAATATCCACTCTATCAAACAACTTTTCAAATGTGAAAATTTTAGACTCGGATCTCAATTGATAAAAAATGTATTTCAAAGTATATTTTGATGTACGTATGTTGTTTGTATTTTCTCGTAAGTTGATAGTTTTTAAAAATAAAAGATATCGGTCTCTCAGCTATAAATTATATGAAACTGCTTACATTTTCAGGTTCCCACTGTTTTATACTTTTTATGTAGATATCGAATTAAGTAAATAATTGTCTCTCATAGAAAGATTAGTGAACAGTAAGAAGTTTAAGATAATGAAAAAATAAAATTTTTTGAGTAATTGTAAAATTTTTTTATTCCACTCTTGCAAAGTTGTATCTAAATTTTGAAACGTATCCTCGCAACTAATTTTTTTTTAAGTTTTAGGCTATTCTAGGATTCCATCCTCCCCCCCCCCTTTTAAACTTTTTAAGGTTGAATGTTTTTTATATTTCTNTACGGAAAAGTAATCTTTTTAGATAATGAAAGATATCTAAGATATAAAAATGAAACTTCTAAGAAAATTATTTCCACCTATTTTTTCTCACGTCATCGGTCGAGGGAAAGAATAGAAGGACCTAATTACGTTTTTTTTCATTATTTATGAAACATGTGATTGAAAGTGTAAAAGGACTGTAAAAATGATTAGGCACAGAAGAAATATGGACTATAAGGAATCATGAATGCAAGAAAACGGACTAAACAAATTCCGTACAAAAGTCGCATCCTTTTGTGGGTAGCCATGTAACACGACGACTCATATAATAATAATGTACAACACTAGCAGTTCAGAAACAAACATTTCTCCGAAATAAGACAATGGTCAAATGCTTTTATAAGGTCCGAACTTGGTTTTTTTTCTTCGAGTGAAGTGTCCATGATTCTTTACGCTTAGTTTTTAACTCTTCACACAAAGAACACACCAATCATCAACCCTCAAAAAACAACCCCACGTGAAACTTACGCGATCTAAGTATGTCCTTGTAGTAGCTTTATTAAAATTAGCAAGAAGGTCATTCTTCTAAATTAAAAGACAAAAATATTCCAATGGATCATAATTATATCAATATTCAAATGACCAAATGGAAAATACGATAAACCATTAATTTGATGTGGTGAAATAGGTTAGAAATTGAATGCAAGCTTACCTCCGCCATATAAACTACCCTGAACCGCCCTGTTATTCCACTGCTAACAAATTAACTACACCAATCCGCCCTGTTCTTCTACCTAAGCCGAATAAACCAACTTCATCCGCCTTGTTATTCTACCTCCGACATATTAACTACCATAATTGATGCAATGTGCACCTTTTTATAACTATCTAAGTGCGACCATTTTTATCATATTCGGCGTAAGAACTATCCTAATATGCTTATATCATAACATCCGCCGTGTCCATGATCCTAATATCCGCCCTAGTTGTAAACCCTCCGCCATTTAAATAATCCCAGTTCTCCCAAGTTTCCCCTCCCGTCATTCTAACCTTTTCAATCCTATCTAAAGGTGTCAAAACAAAAGTTAAGTATCTATAATCTTAGAGTTGGGCACCGAATTATAATGTCAGAAAAAATATAGAATCATAAGAAAACATTACAGAATCAGAAGAAAATGTTTTAGGAAAAATCAGTTGAAAAAAAATAATAAATTTTACCCTAAAACGGCCCTCGTAGCCATCCCTATTCTTATACTGTTGTTCTAAGAAAACATAAATCATTTTCATTGTATCATTTAGAAATCTCGAAGCTATACAGGGGGAATCCTAATAAACTGATCTGGGATTTTGCACAGGATGCCATGTTTTCTGGGACATCCCTTGGCACACTTTTAAGTCATAGCTTTGGTACACCTTGATTTTTAAGAAACAAATCCTGGACTATTCAGAAACATCCTGTATTTAGGGAAACATTATTTTCTTTGAGACATCCGGAAATTCAGGTAGAAATCCTTTTCTTTTCCAATACCACCATATTTTCCTCGTCCTGTATGAGTAAGAGAAAATCCAAGGATGACGTAACATATGCAAATAATGCCGGTGCTTAGACTTTAATAATAAATCTTGCAGAGACACTGTATTCTGTAATACTCCAACACCTTTACACTGATTCTAGAAACAGGAATTCACGCCGCTTGACACCCCGTCAACTTCACCAAGGAAATTACAAGCTGATCAGAAAAAAATGCATTTAAATATAGATGATCAGAGATTGATATTTATAATTGTTTTGTGTAAAATAAATATTTTTATATTACAAAAGAACTGAGTTCTTCCAACAAACTTTGATTTTCAAATCCCTATATCTTTGAAACCGATGTGGTAGGCCTTAGATATCTATGAATTCTGTGAGCTAAACTAGTCTAAGTTCAAAATATCAAAGGTTTACGCCATCAGGATGCAAAGATATGGGGATTTGTTGAATATTAGAATTAATACAAAACAGTGAAATGATCTGATGTATTTTTACATTTTCAGAAATAAATCAGTTATAATAACTCCAAATTTCATAATCCTTTCTAGCTATATTGTATAATTGAAAGAAAAACGAAGGCTACAATCATTCAACAGTTTTCCTGTTTCCCCTTGTAATAAACCTCATATTCATAAATGTGTCGGTTGTTCACATCATACTGAGTACCCGGGGTTGCACGTCGAATTTTTGAAGATTTTTATTATAGCCATGGTATTATAAAAAAAAATGTCAGCCCATTCGGTCCAGCCGTTTAACCAGCATATATATGTGGTGAGAAAAGAGCTTTATTGTATAGATTTGACGAAATATATTAAGGTTTTCCCTTAAGAAAAAGATTAATATGTCTCTAGATTGTGCACAGTTCTAGTTTTCTCTTGAAGATGAAGAGATTAGATACATTTATTGTTTATTGCATCTAAATAAAGTTATATTTCATAGCTTTATGCAAACAGCGCAGGGGAAAATCTGGGAAAATGAAAGGTTAAGTGTTCTCACCCGGGGGAAATACAACTGATTAACGTGGAAATAGTTTTTAATCAAAGAAAGGGTTTCCTGGTATGAAGTACCAGTCGTTACCCGTGTCTATAATCAGTCTTCAGTTTATGCGTTTCCCCATTTTCAGTGTCTGCAACGTAAACTAATTTTTTTAATTTTATTACATTTCTGTAATTGTCATCAGGACTTGACCCCTCTTTAATCAAATGAAAATTTGTGACGTACCCTGAACTAACCAGTGTCCGAATTTAATGAATTTGAGCCGCGTCCCAAATCCGCCAAAAACTGGTTTCAATTGAGCGCTGGCTTAAATCTTTAAACGTTTAAAACAATTTTAAGCGGAAGCAACCATATTTGTGCGGTTCTTTAATTAAAGCCGCGGCTCAAATTCTTTAAATTCGGCCTCAGGACTATTGTTTCGTTTGGATTCTTTAATTTGAATTCAATTGCGATTTTGCGCATATATTCAACAATCTAAATTTTTTTTACTTAAAGGGACACCCGGCCATGTAAGTTAGTTAAGCTGAGTATGCATTCGAAATTCAAAATTCAATATAATGATGAAACGAAATAATTGATTCTAGCATTAATTTATTGACAAATTTCTTTGGGAAATATGTTCCCAACCATCTAATTAGATTACTGTATGATTTTTACTTCAGTTTTCGTCGTCGTAATTTAAAAGAAACCGATTCTGAAAACGTATCCACCCCAGGGGTCAATATAATTCCTTTTTCAATCCCATTTGGGATTGAAAAATTTGAAAGAAATGGGGGCAAATTTTTTTTAAATGATAATTTGAAAAAAAATTGGGGGCATTTTTTTCAAATTGGGGAAAATGGGGTCAAATGTGTTAGTGGAATTTGAATAAAAAATTTTATTTGGGGGCATTTTTTTTTAAAAATTGGGGGCATTTTTTTTTAAATTGGGGGCAATGGGGCAAATGTGCTAGTGGAATTTGAATAAAAAATTTTAATTGGGGAAATTTTTTTCAAAAATTGGGGGCAATGGGGGCAAATGTGTTAGTGGAATTTGAAAAAAAAATTTTAACTGGGGGCATTTTTTTTTTAAATTGGGGGCATTTTTTTCAAATTGGGGGCAATGGGGGCAAATGTGTTAGTGGAATTTGAAAAAAGAATTTTAACTAGGGGCATTTTTTTTAAAATTGGGGGCAAATAATTATTTTGGGATCGAGAAAATCAGCTTTTTTGGGAATTATATTGACCCCTGATCCACCCCCAAAGTAGGAGTTTTGAACGTAGAATTTGCGCTCAAACTTAGGATTCACGAGGGGAGGAAGGCCAACCACATCAAACTCTAGTCCGAACCACATTCTCCTCATTTTCTCGTCCGAACCACCTCGAAATCCTCGTCCTTTCAATATTATTTTTTAAAGTGTCTAATCCTTCCAGATAAAACTAGTTTTAAAGAATCGGGCCACGTTAGGGCATAAAAGAAATATCAAATTTTTGTAAATCGAAGAAAAATTTCAATTGAATTAAAGATTTCAAGTTTAATGTCTTTAAAAAAGTTCACCTTTTCAGATATTCCCATAGATAAATAAATAAACATAGATAGCTTATGTACGCAAAATCAACAAGAATTGTACAGTCCGCGAACTCTTACTTCTAGGCAAGAAATATATAGACCAGGAACCGCCTTATCTGATGCGTCAAATTTGTGTACTGCAGTGGGAGGCGATCAAAACATAGAATTCAGGGGCAAAACATCAATTATGAGGGGGGGGGATGAAATAAAGTATATTGCTATCGTAG